GTTTCACACCCCATATATTATAGGGGATTTAATCCCAATATTGGCCGATTAGAAGGCCTGGGAATCCCAAAGGGACAGGTTCTCAAGTCACTGCCTCCCTGCGCCCTCCCTGCCTGTTGGAGATTCCCATATCTTTCTCCCTGCATTGAGGGGGTTTTCCCAGAGAGGCTGGGGGGAGATTAATGCTTTCATGGCCCATCTCCTGAAAAAGGTATGGGGCAGATCCCTAAACCCAGTGGTTCCCAACCTTTCTAATGAACTAGACTGATATTCTTTTCAGTTCCTATATTCTCTCATTTTGTCACAGAAGTATTTCCAAAAGATGCAGGCAGTGGATAAATACAATTAGTTGCCATTGGGAGCTTCTATATCAGTGGTTCTCAACCTTCCTAATGCCTTGACCCCTTAATACAGTTCCTCATGTTGTGGTGACCCCCAACCCTAAAATTATTTTTGTTGCTACTTCATAACTGACATTTTGCTGCTGTTATGAATAGTAATGTAAATATCTGATATGCAAGATGTATTTTCATTCAGTGGACCAAATTTGGCACAAATACCCAATAAGCCCACATTTGAATACTGGTGGGGTTGCGGGGGGGGGGGGGGGGGGGGGGGGGGTATTGATTTTGTCCTTTGGGAGTTGTAGTTGCTGGGATTTATAGTTCAGCTACAATCAAAGAGCATTCTGAACTCCACCAATGATGGAATTGAACCAAACTTGGCACACAGAACTCCCATGACCAACAGAAAATACTGGGAGGGTTTGATGGGCATTGACCTTGGTTTAGGAGTTGTAGTTCACCTACCTCCAGAGAGCATTGTGGACTCAAGCAATGATAGATCTAGACCGGACTTGGCATGAATACTCAATATGCCCAAATGTGAACACTGGTGGAGTTTGGGGAAATTAGACCCTGACATTTGGGAGATGTAGTTGCTGGGATTTCTAGTTTACCTACAATAAAAGAGCATTCTGAACCCCACCAACGATGGAATTGGGCCAAACTTCCCACACAGAACCCCCATGACTAACAGGAAATACTGTGCTTTCTAATGGTCTTTGGTGACCCCTCTGACACCCCCTCACGACCTCCCCCCAGGGGTCCCAACCCCCAGGTTGATACATGCTGCTTTAACCCAACCTGCCCCCCCCACACACACACACACACCATTAGGAATTCTGCCACTCAGCCTGCCCTGTTTCCCCATGCATTCCCTTGCTGGATTGTGTTATTGATCTCAAGGTGGCCAAGGTGCACTTGTTGGTTTTTAGTATGCATGGCTTCACAGGTGTTTGATAGACCATGACAGATACACCCAAGTGTAAGTTTAAATCAGCAAAATAGCATCATTAAACACAATAGAAAATATTATAGCCCCCTAATAATGTATTCACGAAGCTCCCCAAATCCATAATTAGTTCTCCCCTCCTCATAGACTCATAAAATCATAGAGTTGGAAAAGACCTAGTCATGCAGTCCAACTCCCTGCCAGGAAGCAGGAAAATCACATTCAAAGCACCCTTGACAGATGGCCATATAGCTTCTGTTTAATACAGTGCTTCTCAACTTGGGGGTTGGGTCCCCTGGGGGGGGGGGTCAAGAGAGGGCTGTCAGGGGAGTCACCAAAGTCCATCAGGAAACACAGTATTTTCTGTTGGTCATGGAGGTTCTATGTGGGAGGTTTGGTCCAATTCTATCGGTGGTGAGGTTCAGAATGCGCTTTGATTGTAGGTGAACCATAAATCCCAGCAACTACAACTCCCAGCAACTACAACTCCCAACTCAAGTTTTATTTTCCCCAAACTCCACCAGTGTTCATATTTGGGCATACTGAGTATATCCATGCCAAGTTTGGTACAGACCCATCATTGCTTGAGTCCACAGTGCCCTCTGGATATAGGTGAACTACAACTCCAAAACTCAAGGTCAATGCCCATTACACCCGTCCAGTATTTTCTATTGGTCATGGGAGTTCTGTGTGCCAAGTTTGGTTCAATTCCATCATTGGTGAAGTGCAGAATGCTTTTTGATTGTAGGTTAACTGTAAATCCCAGCAACTACAACTCCCAAATGACAAAATCAATCCCCCCAACCCCACCAGTATTCAAACTTGGGCTTATCAGGTATTTGTACCAAATTTGGTCCAGTGAATGAAAATCCATCCTGCATATCAGATATTTACATTACGATACATAACAGCAGCAAAATGACAGTTATGAAGTAACTACCAGTATTAAAAGCTACCAGTATTAAAAAAGAACTCTAAAATTACAATAACACAACAACAGAGAGGAAACAATCAGAGACATCTAATCACCTCTCAACAAAAGTTTGCTCCAGGCATTGTCAGGCCATTGTATGCTAATCAAGGTGGTCAGTTGAAACATTCACACCTAGCTCCAGCAGACAAGAGTCCTTTGTCTCACCCTGGTCATCCCACAGATATATAAACCCTTTTTCCTAGTTCCAACAGACCTCACTACCTCCAAGGATGC